GAAAGAGATGTACAGATCACACCAGGTACCATTGTCATAGGGGCTGACACCAAAATGAGTGTCTAGAAAATTTCTACTCAGTGGGATTTACAGATGATGGTGTACAAGCTTCTGGAGGGATCACATTGGAAAATCACAAGACTACTATGGTATAGCAGACCAAGTGTTGATGAAAGAGGAGACTGGTAGTGAGTGACCAGAAGCAGAGGCTAGGTATGCTTGGCATGGGAACACCTGTGACTGGCAGACAGGGAAAAAGACTCAGGCTGGATTCTGTGTTATTTAAGGTAAAAGAGAGGAAAGGAGGGCAAAGAGGAGTGACATTATGTATTACTATTTTTGTGACACTAATCTAGAGACACTACTGACCAGGTGCTTAAATTAAATTCCCATTCTTCCAGCCAGATTGGGGGGAAATATCAACCTTTCTTTGATGGTCAAGGGCTTTCAAAACATTCCTGGCTTGTAAAACTTCTAAGAAGCCTATTTAGGTGTCAGAACCCCTGAAAATTTACTTTTTTAGGCATTGCATTTGCCCCCATTGGGAGGCATGGTCTCCAGCTACCTTAACTGCAGACACATGGTGATGCAAATAATCAACAGCTATGGAACCAATATAAAAGAGTGCTTTCCACACTATAAAGAATGGTGGTGATGGCAGTGGAGACACTGTGAAGAGATTGTGGCACTACTGTAAAGAGACTGTAGCAAGGTGTAACCAGAGGAATGCTGGAGATAAAGGCCACAGTAGAAAAAGTTTTGCTTGCTCTATGGTTGAAGGAAAAGCTGACTCATAACTGCTCTAAGATAGGGGCCACAGTTGAAGGTTTTGATTGCTAAATTATTGAAAGAAAAGTTGACTTATAACTGCTCTGAGATAAAGTTTGTTGGATGATTGAGGAAATCAGAGGCTTCTTGCATTTGTGCTGTTGAACTGAACCTGGCCTTTCATTAATTGGGGAGTTGTGTATTGGTGTTAATCTGGTTTGTGACTGCTGGACTAAACCTGGATTTGCATTGTGTGATATTCTTTTTCTTTCATACTCTCCAAACTATTTCTCTCATAAACCTCATAACTGTGAGTAAATTTTGTGAGTCTTGAAATGAACATCATACCCAATAATTGTAAACATAGGTGCAGGAGCATGTACATGTGGGGTGACATATCACTATATTTGTATGGTACTATGAACATTATTGAAGGGGACAGTTCCCCTTTATGAAACAGGGAGAAGTCAGACTTAGCCGCCTCACATTGTACCTGCTCCTATTACACCTGTTTACCTTTTTAAAATAATTTTTCTTTTTAAAATGCATATCTTTTTGTCATTGTTTGAAAAATTCATATAAAACACATTTGCTAACTCAAGACATTTGATAAGTACAATTTTATTTTTATTTGATAAGTACTAATTATATTTCTCAAATTGTGCAATCGTCACCAATATCTGCTGCCAGAATGTCCATTATCATAAACAGAAAGTCAATGCCTCTATGATCTAGATTTATGTATATTTCCAAGGGACAAGGAGAGATAAAGGTTCTAAAGAAAATTCTCTAAGAAACAGAAAGTCTCTTTTTCTTTTACCATCAGGGTAAATTAAGCTTTTGGATTTTATTTTGATTTTATTTTCTTTTTAGATTTGTATTTACCCTTAGGCTGGGGAAACAGGAGAACTGATGATGTTAAATACAATATAGTGTTTGACCAAGTTGCCCAGGCCTAATAGAAAGAAGTACAAAATGGCTCCTACTGTCAGAATACATTCTGAGGAGCTTCTCTGAATTTGGAGTAAGGATAAATGGAAGGATAGTCTTCTATTTCTTTTCATCAAGGTCGTAGTAAGGAGTTTAACTTGAGATATACCATGAAATGCCTAATTTAGGGCAAAAGTGAAGATACTGTGTACAGACACAGAGACAACAACAAATATCCTTGATCTGGACTAATCGGATCGTTAAGTTCTAAGGTCCCAAAGGATGTGACTATTAAATAAGAAAGGCCCAGTATGTTCTGTTCAATTTGAATAATGTTGGAAAGCTTCTTGATTTTTTTCTTCTGCTTTGTCTTTCCTTGTGATATGTTCATTAAATTTAGAAAACAGTGAGTCACTAGCTTGGATAATAATCTCTCTAGTATAAAAGTTCTTACTTAAGTGTTTCAACTTTCTTATCTTAGTTGTAAGAGTCTAATAATGACAAATGGGAAGAATATTTAAGAGGAAAATAGAAAAAAAAGAATATACATTGGAAATAAAAAAGCATTATAAAATGGGTAAGGAACTTCAAAGAATATAAAGTTGAAAAGAATAAAAACTCAAAGATCTTTTAATTCTACTAGTTTGTTTTCTTGATTTTAATTTATCCATTCTAAAAGAAGTATGTGTCTTTTTAAAATTTGTGAAATACCATAAAACACCAACAAAAGGGAGTAAAATTCATTTTCCCTACACAAAGATAGGTATAACTGAAGCATGTCCTTCTAAATCAGTAGTTTCACTTCTATCTCTTATGAGGCACTGCTGTCACAGCCCATAAGAAGTTGTGCTCCTAACTCAAAGGTTGCACCTCTCTGGCAGTTCAAATCCACCAGTAGCTTCAAGGAAGAAATATAGGCAATCCACTCCAAAGTGATTTACAACCTTGGAAGCTCAGTGGGAGATTAGCTCTGTCTTGTTTTTGCCAAGATGGCAATGAGTTTTTATTGAGTGATTTACATTTGAAATATTGAATTGCCAACTATTACAATTAATAAATGCATTAGTTATATATTGTTGACCCCATCACCTAAGCATTTATTAATGGCCATAAATATTTATTATCTCACACAGTTTTTGTGGGTCAGGAATCCATAGAGGCTTATATAGTTATAGTTATATAGTTATAATGTCTCATTATGTTGCAGTTGACATATAGATTAGGCCACCATCCTCTGAAGGTTTTGTTGGGAATGGAGTATCCTTTTCCAAGTTGAGCTACTCACATGGCTTTTTTTTTTTTTTTACTCACATGGCTGTTGTCAGGAGGCCTTGGCGTGTCACTACATAGGTCTCTATGTACGTCTGCTTGGGGGTCCTCACATAGGGCAAGTGATTTTCCCTAGCACTGTTGATTCCAAGCATGAGCAAAATGAAAGCCATTGTGACTGTTATGAGTGAGTCTCAAAAGTTGTTATTACTATTGTTAACTGACATCCAGTGTATTTAGGCTTATGGTAGTCCCATGTATGCAGAGAAGGACTGCACTATAGAATTTCCAAGCCACGATCTTTTGGAAGCAGATTGCCAGGTGCCTCTGAACGGGATCAAGCCACCAGATTTTCAGTGAATAATTAAAATCTTAACAAATTATGTTATCCAGAGACTTCCAACCTTATAAATAAAAAAATCCTAATTTATATAATTTACAAATTCTAGTTAACTAAACAGCACCAAACAATAACAACAATTGGTTACAGAGGTCAATCACAGCCACATTAGTGTGGAATGGTGCAATGCAGAGTATGTCTTTACAGAGGTGAAAATTACTGTTAGCTATCTTGGTTGCTGGCTACTACAATGTGAATTTTTAATGGCTGCATGAATTCTAATAGAGAAAGAGAGAACTCTAGTGATGTAGTTTATCAGACTGCTGACTTAAAGAGCATTGGTATAATTTCACCATAGTTGCTCCTCTAAAGAATGGTGCACAGTCTCTTCCCATGCAGAAGTATATAGTGTTAGAAGCCCAGAGATGGGCTGCTTTGAGTTGGAATTGATTCTGTGGAAATGGATTTGGGTGCATGTAAAATAGATACATGGCTAAATATAGATACAGATGTTTCACATAATATCCACAAGCTCCAGCTGAGTATCCTCTCCTGGGCTCTGTCAGTATCTGCAGGGTCCCTATCCGAGATAGTGCAATGGAATAGGCTGCCCAGGAAGTCCATAGAAGAAGGAGCTAAAGAGTTAATCAAAGACATATGGGTTAGCCATACATAGTAAAGTTCTTTCCCTATATCCTGTTCTCCCATCTAGATTTGAGAACTCTGTCGTAACCTTAAGAGACCTCTTGTGGCCTAAAATGTAAGCAGTTTCACTACCAACTAAAACACAAATGATTTGAACCTACCAGCTGCTCCCACACAATTTATATCCTCTGAAAGCCCATTGGAGGTCAGCTATGAATCCTTCTGACTTAATGGCCATGAACAGCAGTATTATAAGCTTAAGGAGCACTGGTGGCATGGTGCATTATGAAATGGGCTATTAATGGAAAGAAGAGAGGATCAGAAGGCAGAACCCACCAGCCATCCTGCTGGAAAAAGAGAATCAAATGTTGGAACCCACCAGTTATTCCCACATAAAGATGTTCAGCCTCAGAAACATGATCAGCATTGCTGAATCAGAGTGGGCTTGATGGGAGTAGGTTTACTTTGATTTGGTTTGGTTTGGGGATTTATTATAACTGTGGAGTTACTTTTGCCATAATGGATATTAAACTATGCATATCTACCTACATAGCTGTCTCTCAACTAATATGTTTGTGTGTGTGTGTGTGTGTATATACACACACACATATATATGTATATATTTTCACTAATATTATACACATAATTATCTATTTATACAAGGATCCTTATATTTTTAGAATGTTTTATTATTATAAATAATGCAAAAATATCTTTGTATCTTAAGATTCTCAGAAAATATTTCAAATTCTTAAGATACATTATCAGAAGTGAGATAGTTGGAAAAAATAGTCACTTTATTTTCATAATTAAATGCTTCATAAAGCAAATCAATATTTTACAGTATTCATTTCAATTGCCATATACATGTCCTTGGTGAATTTGTGATAAATATCTTAAAATTAATATACAGTGATCCACAATTTTTAGTTTACTATATTGATGTTACAGTGTATTTAAGGTATATATACTCTAATGTCCATGTAACAATTTTTTTATCTTTGGAACATATAGAATATTTTTTCATTGTTATTAAACCCTTTTGTAGATCCTGCTGAGTTTGTTTGTGGCTGTTATTTTGGACAACTTAGAACTTGATGAAGATCTAAAGAAGCTTAAACAAGTAAGTAATCTATGGGCAAAATTTTTTAATAGGAACTTTTAAGGACAAAAACATATGTTTACAGGTAGTGTTAAAGCAGTCTGAGTTTCAAAGTAAAAAAGAAAAGGAATTTAACAAATTAAAACATTCTGAGTTGGCAGAGATAAATTTAACTTTTATCCAATATCAACAAATGGAATTTTGTGTTGCTCTATAATTATTCTAGGAACAATTTTATGTTATTATTTTGAGTGAAAATAAGATAGACAAAATAATTTGGGAACTCTTTCCTTTTGCTATTAAAGAATGGTTAGTTGGAAATTAGTATCTCAGGGTCAGATTGCTGCTTTATACTGTTATTTCTAATGTATTTGATCATCATGATAAAAATATTGAGTATCCATTTGTCCTCTAAACACTGAAAAAAAATTAGTCTGGGTTCTTGTAGTGATTATAAGAAAAGAGAAGAATAAAGGATCTAATGTGTCCTGGGTTATATTCCAAAAAATTTTGGGTGTTAGAATGTAAGTTATTTTATTCAGACGTAGGAAAGGAAATACGTAAAGGTTATGTTATCGATAGCATTACCATTGTGATCAGCCATCCTCCCCTACCTGGTTTGAGAAATTGAAATTCTACTAAAAAGTATAGACTCTTAGAAGAGCGGAACTGGTGAGAAAGGAGCCACCGAAGAAGATAATCTAGGCTTAACATGCATCGGGGCAAGACTGATTGGAACCAAGACCCTAAAGCAAATCATATCGGGTATTATATGAGTGTTTGATTTCAAATATTTATAATTTTGATATTATATCAGCATTGTATATTTTCAAGAAGCAAATACATAGGCTTTTAAAACCTTTTTTATATCTTTTTTTTTATGGCTGAGGACTACTGTCAGCATTTTATGTTGTCACTGGTTTATCTCCAAAGCCTATGGTTTTAAACAAGGATACTTATTTTTAACAATTTTTTTTTTTAACTGTGACACATAAGATTCCTATTGTAAGTACTCCAAGGAGCCTGTAAATTCTTTCTTACCATGCAATTTTGCAGTCAAAATGACTATGCAGTTATTATTGAGAAATATAGAACTTCTTAATTTATGGTAACAATAACAATTTATTGAAATGAAAGTTGGAATGGTCTTTAAGCAATACTGTGTTCAACAGATAAATCTTGCCTCATCTTGACCAACCTCACAATCTCTCCTGCCCATTGTTGAGGTCACTGTGTCAATTCATCTCATCTCCTTTCCTGATCCTCCACTTTTCCAAATATGATGTCGTTTTTAAGCACCAGCCCCTTCTAAGAACTTGCATGAAGTACGTGAGAGAAGGTCTCAACATCTTTCCCTCCAGGGAGAACATTGACTAAAAAAAATCAAATTTGTTTGTTCTTCTAGTATTCCAACAGTTATTCAATTTACTTCACCAACATAACAATTAAAAGGCACCATTTCTTCTTCTTTCATATATAAATAAATAATTGAATGGAAAAAAATTGTTTTAAAAACCTTCATTTAAAACACAATAGAAAAAGAGGAGGGAATATCTCCCCCCTCCCCAAAAGTCAAGATTTACAGCTATAAATACCTGAAAGAGGGTCACTCTGAGTTGGAGTTGGCTTGGTGACAGTGGGTTTGCTTTCTATTTGTTTTTGTTTGTTTTCTGGTAGAAAAACAGATATCTTGAGGAGTTGGCTTATAAACTGGCAGGGACTGTCATATCTAAGATCTATAGATCAGGTGACAGGCTGGAGACAGTCTTGCTAGTTCATAATTAACTGGTCTTTCTTTTCTCAACAAATCTCAAGTTTTGTTCTTAAGTAATAATTAGATGTGGCTGAAGGTGATTTTCTTGGTTTACAGACAACTCATTTGAATGCTAATATCATATGAATACATTCAGAGCAACATCTAGACTGGGGTTTGACTAACAATTGGGCACTATAACTTATGGAATTTGACAGACAAAATTAGCCATTATAGCATGTTCTTTATGCTTAGGATTTAAATATCCCTCAAAGGCACACAAGCATATATATCCTACTGATAGAATGAAAAGTGATATATTTCATCTAACTTATAGTTTTGAATAATCACTGATCAAATAAAATGGCATGTTGTTCTAGTGCACATCTATAAAACAGTTTAAAATCAGTAGATTTTAGATTTCTGTTCCTCTTTGTGGAGCAGAATATTTTCTCTCAAATTGTATGTGAGTGATATTTGCCACTACTATGCAGTGTTGATTTTACAAATACATGATGTGAGTCATGCCTGCTGCGGCTGTTTAATCAGTGAACAATTATTTACTTATAAATAATGACACCACGGGTGATGAAAACATCATTGAAGATTAGAGATGAAAAAGTAGCCTAGTCAATAAGGCTATTGCAGTAGTGTTTTGCTTCACCTCAAAAATCAGATGATCTCTTTGACAAGCACTGTGGCAATTGGATAATTAAAACAGGCTTTCAAGGGGTCAAGGGGCGGGGGGAAGAAGAAACTGCACAACAAAGAATAACTCACCCGACTGAATGGAACATAGGCAAAGGAAGAGTGCTGGAAATGAAAAGACCTCCAAACTCAGCAGCTCCCCAGTCTGAGCATGAAGAACGAAATGAAAAAGCATTCTCAGTCTCCATGGCAGAAGAAGGTAAACAAAGATTATGTACTGAAAAGTAGACATTTCCTGAATGCCTGAACCTGATCAATGAGGGATGCCCAGAAGAAATATGAAGCACAGTGAATGACTTGGTAAAAATATTCCAGATACTACAAAACTTAAATATTGAGTGTGCCTTGCAAATCCTATTGAAAATATGATTGCTATCTACAAGAAGGCCATTCTGGCTGGGGCTCAGCCTATTGAAGAGATGTAATGTGTAATTGCAGACATTCTAACAGTGAAGAGTCAAGAAAAAGTTAATTTGGGAGAAAAAAATTGAAGCTTGTACAATCAAGTCACAAGAAGTAAACACTGAAGACACAGTGTTAATCTAGAGCCAGGAAAAAAATAGAAAGTTATCATCAGAAATGATTGTGACAAAGGGGAAGAGGGAAAAACAAAAGATTCTGATAAAACATCTAATAAAGATACCAGAGAGAGTTGTATGATTAACTGTATCTACTATACTGTACTTACAAAGTGGAGCAAAGAAGATTCTGTTTAATCAAACCGGAAATATATTTGAAGACCTCAAGTTTCTAACACCAGTGAGATGTTCCCACCATCTTCAAGATAAGACTTCTAAATTGCCTGATATGTTAAAAGACCATGTCCCTTTTCAGCAGGAAGTAGCTAAGAGAATACGCTGTCCCCTTTTCCTTATGAATCAGGGTGAAGTCTCTCTCAGGGAGGAGGAATAGGGAATGGCAAAGGACACACTGACAAAGGAGATTAATCAGAGCTGGCTTTGACAAGCACTGTGGCAATGGGATAATTAAAACAGACTTTCAAGGGGAAGGGGGAAGAGGAGTGAACTGGGGGAGTAGAGAAAATAGTGCAACAATGAATGAATGGAAATCCAAAATCTCTGTAAGTGTTCATTAAAATTAATAAAATTTAATAAAAATTTTTTAAAAAATACCATTGTCCTCATGTGTCTTCACTGGAACAGTTGCTTTTGCATGCCGTTCTAATGCAGCTCTGTGCATGATATACTCAGAAATGGAAACAACAGAGGAGAAATAAAACTATGAAAAGGGAGGGACGTGCAGTCAGAAAATATACTCTTTGGAGGCAAGATGATGAAGCTCCATCTGATACTTTGGACTTGTTGCTAAGAAAGGCTATTCCTTGGAAAGAGACATGTTTGGAAGGTCAGAGAAAGACCTCCAGCAAGGTGGATTGACACAGTGACTACAAGAGTGGGCTCAAGTGTGTGGAACAGATAGATACACATCGCACAGGATAGGACACAATTCAGATCTGTTTTTCATAGGATCGTTCGGAGTTGTGTTCAACTCTAAGGTACCTAACAGCAACAATAGCAACATGCAAGGATGCTGCCCATGTGTCTCCCTCATATTCTAATAGATTTAACTGCTGACATTTAGGTTAGAGGATAAATACCACACTACTTCAATGAGCTCCTTTTTCCGATGTAAGTTCTCAAAAAGAGCACCCAAGTCAGATAGTAATTGTAATAATGTGAGAATTCTAAAAGGAATTGTAAGGAGCTCTAGTTGCACAATGGATAGACTCTTAGATTGCTGTTTCTTTATAGGTCTCCAGAAAAAAGAAAGAAAGAAAAACACCAGAAAAACCCAACACTGATAATTAGCTCCCATGAAGATTGTTGTTGTTGTTGTTGCTATTGATTGTTGTCAAGTCCAGGATGACTCATAGCAACCCTATGAACTAAAGATCTAATGCTTTTCCATAACTAGCATCGTTTCTCCAAGTTCATAGAGTTTCCAGAGGCATGTGGTTTAGGAAGTGGATGCCACTCCTGCTTCCAAACCTGTCTTACAATTGGGAGCTCCACCAAACACTGTCCACAATGGTAAACCATTCTGGTATTTGATACCCCAATGGTACAAGGTTCACCATCACAGCAAACCCAGGTTACTTCATACTGCACATTGACAAAGAGTGATGTACAAAGTGGAAGAGTGTGCCTCCATGGATTTTAAAGCCTCACCCTCTAGCAGGCCTCTACCCTTGGTCAAAGGCCAAAGGAAGTGGGGAAAGAACAGTAAAATACATCAAACACGACCCCAGAAACTTCCCTTACATGACCACCATCAAGACAAGACTGCCATCGAGATGCTAGCTGGCAGCCAGTTCCTAGAGCGGAGGGAGACTCCCCATGAAGCTTACTAGCTAAGAAATCCTATGTGATAGTTCCCTGTCATAATGGATCACTCTGAGTGGGAAGCAACTTGTTGACACACAACAGCAACAATAAAGGGAATTGTGTATTTGCAATTGTACCTACTCAGCATTAGATTGTACATGCTGACTAAACTGTCAGATCTAACACTTTGAAGTGAAAAATCTGTAAATTCTCTG